TAAAATCATTGTGCAAGAAAATATATATATACAATATAATATAAGTTTAAGTATATAATTATCGTGATTTTTATATATGAGCGCTTGATACATATACCATAATATTTATATATAAACAAGATAAAATTAGTTATAATCATTTTCGCCAAAATAAAAGTATAAAATTTTTTATACAATTCTATTATTTTTTTTTATTTATTTAATTTAACTTATATATATTAATTTTTAGCTAACCTTTTCAAATGGAAACTAATCTGAGAAATGTAAGTATTGTAAAAAAAGAATTGAATTGTATTTTATGATGTAAGGAATTTTATTTCATTTTAATATTTTGTAAGATTATTTGTGCTAAAATAAATAATATATAAAAATAAAGAATGTAAGTTTTTTTTAAATTGTATTTAAATTAAATACTTATAATTTTTCAAATCAAACTATTAAAAAAAATTTATATTATTTCAAAATTATTATTATTTTTTATAATAAAAATTTCTATTTTAAGAACTTTGAAAAATATTTATCTGGTGGAGAAACCACCCAAAGTCAATTAACAGAAGTTTTGTATAGAACACAAACTGAAAATAAAATGCTACCAGGATTTGATTCTAATCGAGATGATGTTGAATATTATCGTATTCAACAGGATATTGATTGTGATGAAGTATATCCAAGAATATATATTGGTGATGCGTAAGTATTATAAATATTATATTTTTCATTTTTATCAAATCTTAATTTGCATTTTTATAGTGTAACAGCAAAAAATAAAAAATATCTTAAAATGTTGGGTATTACACATTTGCTTAATGCTGCTGAAGGAAAAAGATTTGGATTTGTAAACACTAATAAGAATTATTATTCTGACATAACAATAAAATATCTTGGTTTGCCACTTATTGATTTATGCAGTACAGATATTAGCAAATATTTTTTCACTATTGCAGACTTTATTGATGAAGCTATTTCTTCTGGAGGTAACAATTTAATAAAAGAAAGGAAATATTATATGATAATATTTTAAAATACTATCTAAAATCTTATCTAAATTGAATTTCTCTTTATTATAGGTAAAGTGTTTGTTCATTGTATGTTAGGAATTTCACGTAGTGCAACATGTGTATTAGCATATTTAATGATTAAAAAAGAAATGTTAGCAACAGATGCAATTCGTACAGTCCGCAAAAATCGTTTTATTCAACCAAATAGTGGCTTTCTTAATCAATTAGCAAAATTAGATAATCATTTACGAAGACAACGATTACAAGTATAGATTTAATGAGGATTAAAGATATATTTCTATGAGATTTTACAAGATTTATTCGCAGTACATAATGCATAGAATTTTATTAATATATATTGTATATAAATAATTGTATATAAAAATTGAATATAATCAAATTGTTTATCAATACATTATTATCCGTTTATAAATTCTAAAGTTTTATTGTTTGACATTATATATTACACATAAAATTTATTGTAAATTATTTCAAAATTTATATTTTATGCGTAATCCATATTTTAATATTATCATGTAATCTAAATTTTATTTATTTACAAATTTCATTAAAATTATGAATATATAATATTCTACAAGATTGCGATTACATGTTTGTGATGTAAAATTTTATATATACAATATTACATCACACTTCTTAGAGTTCATCTTTTATTTGATGAATTTGTTTAATAAATTATAAAATTGATAAAATGTAATACTATAAAAACATGTTGATTTCATTATTCTTAATAACTACTATTAATTTACAACTCGTGGTCGTTTGGAATGGGATTCTTTAAGAGTAGATGAATGATTTGGGGAACCTATTTCATTTATATTTTCTATATCCTGTGGACCGCTACGTTTTCTTGCTTTTGGAGATAATTGTTTTAAACATTCCATATCATTAAATATAACTTGTGCACCTCCTCCACTAGTAGGTATTATATCGCCCTACCATCATAATATCATATTTTATAACATCGTATAATAATATACTTTTTTTGGATTCGTTCAAAATAAAATTACCTTGAATAATTTTGTCTCAAGTTCACCATCCGTATCATGTTCTTGCGCAACAAGACAATATCTGGATACACCATCTGTAATTTCTTTTGGATCTGTAAGTCGTGTAACGCTACGTCTTCTATGCATTAAAGGTTGAAGAACAGTTCCTATAGGAACAAGTGCTCCTGGTCTATGATCAACCCATCTATCAGCACTTTGTGAACGTCTATATCTTAAATTTGCTGTAGCTGCTTTATCCTGTTAATAAAATATATTTAAAATATATATTCAAAAAAATTACATTCATATAAAATAGAAAAAACTAACTCTTCGTGATCGACAATCTGTTCCTTTTGTTGTTTGTTGTATATAATTAGAAGTAGGAGTCACATAATCTTTGGAAATACTAGGTACAGAATTAATACCGTTATCATCAACTAAGATTTGTTTTACCAATCTTAATTTATCATCTTTTTCCTTCATTTGATTCTAAACAAAAAAATTTTAAATATAAAATTTGAAAATGAAATGAATATAATATGTTGATTATATGAATTTATATATTCATTTCTTTTATTTTACCTGTAATTGTTCACGTTGTTGACGTAATTTTATTTCTAATTCCTTATTCATTTTATCAGTTTCTACTTGCATTTTAGTGTTGTATTTTTGTTTTACCCTTTGTTTATCTATTAAACGTTGATTTAATGCCATATTTCTATCTTTCAACTGCAAAATATTGAAATCAATTGTAAAATATAATAAAATATGCAATCATTTACACAGAAAAGAAAAATAAATTCATTAATTACCTCATGTTGTAAACTACGTATTGTGTCATTTGCATGATTTAATTTTCGAAGCAAACTATCAATTTGTTCTTCAGTTTTACATAAATGACCTTCTAATGCAGAAATCTAAAAGCAAATATAAATTTTCTTTTGTGTTTCCTATAATCAAAAAAAATTAATTCTTACCTTTTTATTTTGTTGTGAATTGGCTGCTTTTAAAGATGCATTTTCAATTTTTAAATTCATATGATCTTGTTCCATTGTCATTAACATTTTTCTAAGATCATTTTCTGCAAATGCAATCAAATAAAAATTATATATATTTTAAACTTCATTAAAAGATAGATATATTCTTACGTTTTTGTTGTAAATCAGTACGTAATATATTCCGTTTATTAATGCGCTGTTCCAAAAAATGCATTAAATTAGTAATGATTTGATCATTACGTGGAGAATTAATCTCCAATTCAGGAAATGGACCGCCCAAACTGAATTAAAATAAAATTAAGTAAGTAAAAAGAAAAAATAAAAAAAAATATAATGCTTACCTATACACTAAACCAACATCAATTTCTAAATCACCAGCTTCAAGACGTCCTTCTTTTTGCAATTTACTACGTGCCTCCTTAAACAACTATTAAAAATTTAAATTATATATTATATAAATTTAATTATATTTTTATTCTTTTATTATTTATCTTACCTTATTTGCCTGTCTTCTTCCAGGCGTAAAACCAAAATCTATTTTCGTAACTGTTGGTCTAGCTACTTGAACTTCTTGTGTCATTTCCGCAAATTTCATTACTTGCTAAAATATGAATAAATTTATTTATTTTGACTTATTAATATTTATATTTCATATTATTGCTTTATTTCTTACAATTGTTTCATCATAATCATCTGTTCTTGGATTAACACAAACAATCATTCTAACTTGTCCTTCTCCATCAAAGTAATTTTTAAATAAATGGGTAAGTTTTGAATCTCTATAGGGTACCATTTTATTTGTGCTTTGAAGTTGATTCTCTCTTAAAATTTCTAAACACGATCGTAGCGTCATCAAAGAATTATTAATATTGCCTAAATTAAAACAGATGAAAATAATTATAAAAATAATTATAAAAACATATTAAATATTTAAACATATATTAAATATTTAATTGTAAGATTCATATTTGAAATATAATTACCTGCTTCTCTCAATCGTTGTCCCGTATTTTTGGTCCTATTAGTTCTTTCACTACCAGCTAAATCCACTAATGATAACTGAGTAATACATACCACTCGTTTATCTTGTATAACTTGTTCACCTTCACAATCTAAAGGTGCCTATAAAAAATCTGTTATTATTTGTAAATATTAATTATATAAAAAAAAAATAATTAAAAATTTTACTTGAACAAGACGAATAGTGAAAACACTATGTGATCTACTTGATTCTGCATTAAGTGCAGTATGAGCAACTCTTCGTCTTCGCTGACCACGCTGAAATATTTCAAATGCTTCATCTGAACTTTTTACTTCAATTTCTGTTACAGCATGTACATACATATTCTTATTTCCATCTTCTCTAACTATTTTACTCTGTAATGTTCTAAAAATTATCTTTTAACATTATAATATTACTTGAAATCAAATATAATAAAATTAAAAATGAACATATATCATTATACTTAGTTCTAATATCTTCATCTTCTAATAAATCATATACACTATTATTATAAATTTCAACATAAGTAACAAATACAGCATAGACATTATCTTGATCTACTTGTATTGTTTCTGATTCCTCAATGTCATGAATTATTGGATTACTATCACCATCACTTTCTATTTTACGTCTATAAAAAAACATTAACAAAAATTAATAAAAATGTTTACCTTAAGTATAAGTATATTATTCATACTTACAATTTGCCTGATTTTCCATTTCTTTGTGACATAAGCCCAGCATGAAGTTCATTTTGTCTATCAAGCATTGCATCAGCTTCATTTTGTATATCAAAACCATTTAATTTATCTGGTTTAAAAATAAATTTTTTTGTTTGGTAATTAGCAATACTATTAAAAATAACATCAAGACAACGTGGCATTATTCCTGCATCTTGAGATTCGCCAGTCATAGTATATGTTTTACCACTTCCCGTTACACCATATGTAAATAAAAGGCTATTTCTACCACGAATGACATTTTCAACTAATGGAAGGGCAACTATATTAAAAATATCTTTTTGTGTTGCATCTGGTGTAAACACATGACTAAATGTTGTCTGAATTTCTTTATTGCTAGAATTACGAAAATTTGTTGCTGATTCTGGAGGTGTAATAACCACAGTTGTATCAGATGTAACTTTCATACATGATATATCAGTAGGATATTGCATTGGCCTTAAACGACAATAAACTTGCACTGGATCCTTAGATAATATATTATTGCCCCTAGGACGATTTGTTGGCTTACGAGCTGAACCTGGTGGTTTCACGCGTCTAAAATGTTAATATTTCATATACATTATATATAAGTAATAAATATTAAAAAGTTAGATATTGAAAATTAAAAATTTACAAATCAATACAATGAAATATAATAATAATAAAATATTAATAATAAAGAAACTTCATATATTTTTGTTTAAAATCAAAAAAGTAATAAGACTTACACAGACTTCATTTTTCTTTCTTTTTCTTTTTATAAATCTATTTTTATTTTATTAAAATTAATTCTTTGTTTGAAACTTGTATATATTTCTTAATAGATACAACTTCACAAACTCTAAACCGTTACTCTGCAGTAATATTCAAAATTTAAATCTAGTTATAAAATGAAATAAACAGTGTTACCAACATTTATATAAAAAATATTCTATATATATATGATTGGTTTATTGAAATATTCTCTTCACCAATAAGAAAAAGGAAAAAAGTGAATATTATAATTTTGTATTTTTATTTACGTTGCATTATAAGCACATAATATTGAAATATATTGATTTTCATCAAAATATATAATAGAAAAATAATGAACGAAAATTTATTTTTTGTTAGACAATTTATTTTTTATAATTATTATATTTAATTTTTTATAATATAAATTTCATATTATTTCTTAGCCTTTTTATCTTTACCAACTTTGGTAACATCATCTGGATTTTCTGCTGCATCTTTTACACGTTTCGCACGAATTCCTACTAATCTAGCATCAGCTCTAGCTTTACGGAGAGTTACATATGCAGAGAATTTTCTTTCTTCTTCAGAAATGACACGTGCTTTAGCTTTAGCTGGTGCTTGGTGTCGTACTGGCATGATTTCTCCTTTAACTTGAGTAGCAAGTTTCATCTCTTCCTCACTAGCATCACCCTTTTTAGGCTTTTATTATAAATAATATTAGTAAATTTAAAATTTGTTTTTTATATCTTTTAATTTTTTATCTTATACTTACTTTCTTTTCATTTAATGGGAAGAGAATCAATTTTGATTTATATTCTTTCAATCTTTGAGCATTTGTTTGCAAAGATTCAACTGATTTGTTACGTCTTCTAGGATCTACTGCAATTCCAATAGTCCTAGCAAATCTTTTATTTAAACCACTAGCTTTCAATTCTTCTAATGTAAAACCTTTACCTGCCCTAACTTTTGTATGATAACGGAATGTTGGACAATGAACAACAGGTCTTAAAAGCTTTACAGGTCTTAAAATTTTAAAAGAATATTAAATTATTAAAATTAATAATATAATTAAAATATGAAATATAATTTATATAATATTATATAAACTATAAATTTAAAAAATAAAAATAAATTGATTGTTTTTTTATTTACCTTGGTGCGACAGTACGAGCTTTTTTTACACGATTTTGTTTACGACGATATTTTCTGGCAGGTTGATTGAACCATGTTTTGACAAATCTTTGCCAATCTTTATGAAAATGTCCATTAGGAATCATATTATTTCTTTTACCCATGTTGAACTAAAATATATAAATATATTTATTTTCAATATAATAACTTTTTTAATTTAAAGATTTTAAAATATATTTATTAAACTTAAAAAATATATATATTAAATTAGAAATATTACTATTATAAAATGTAAACAAAACATTTAATTTTTTTTATAAATAAAATTTTTATAACTTTAATACTACTTTATAATACTTTTATAGTTATGTACATATATTTTTCTATTAAAATAAATATTTTATTAATTATAAATTAAATATATATGAGAAAAAGTTAACCTAATTAAGATAAAATTTCTTTATTTATTCAAAAGAAATTACAATAATATTATTTAATTACATTTCAAAACATAAATAATAATGATTTTCTATTGAGTTATAAAATATTATTTTAAGATGTTACATTTTCAATTGGATTTCAAATTTAAAAGATTACTTACGAACTTATTTATACGACACACACCGGAAAAGGAATCAATCTAACGGAAGTTTTAGTTTTCCATGTAATAATATTTATCAATTGGAATTTAAACTAAAAAATAATAAAATTATATTATGAAAATATTATTTATTGATAAAAATCAAACTTTAAAATCAAATAATTTTATTAAAATAATAATAATATATATTATAATTTCTTTAACATAAATAATAAATATGGCAACTTTCTAGATAATATATAAGTTCAATGTTTTAATTTAAGAATTTTTAAATAAATATTTAAATAATAATAATAATAATTTAAAAAATACTAAAAAATGAAGATTACAAAATCTATATTATATTATAAGAATAATAAATTTTTTAAAAGTGTAATTCGATATGCTTCAACTGGTATAAATAAATTTTCGGTATAAAATATTTTAATATTCAAAAAATAAATAAAATAAACTTAAGAACTAAAAATTTATATCATTAATATAATTTATGAAATATAATGTATAATACAATGCATTATTATATTGTAATAATAATTATTGTAATTGTAATAATGTACTTTTATTATTATTTATTTTTCTAGAATATAGAACTCACAGATGTAATAAAAAAGGAAATAGAAATATATTGGAAAGACAAAATTAATTTAAATAAAAATTATGATGATACAAATAATAAAAAAAAAAATTTTTATATTTTATCAATGTTTCCATATCCTTCTGGAATGCTTCATATGGGTCATATAAGAGTTTATACGATAAGTGATACTATTGCTCATTTTTATAGAATGAAAGGTTTAATTTATAAAATGAAATTTTTTAATTTACAAATATTTTATTATCTCTTATTTAATATCTGAAAGATATTATTCTTTTCTTACTTTAGGATATAATGTTTTGCATCCAATTGGTTGGGATGCATTTGGATTACCTGCTGAAAATGCTGCTATTGAAAAACAAATTAATCCAATTGTATGGACATATGATAATATTAAAAACATGAGAAATCAATTAAAATTATTAAATTATTCTTTTGATTGGGATAGAGAAATTACTACTTGTGATCCTGAATATTATAAATTTACACAAGAATTATTTTTAAAACTTTTTGAAAAAGATTTGGTTTATAGGAAGGAATCATTCGTTAATTGGGATCCTATTGATGAAACTGTATTAGCAGAGGAACAAGTTGATGCTAATAATTGCTCTTGGAGATCAGGTGCTAAAATAGAAAAAAGATTATTAAATCAATGGTTTATTAGGACTACATCATTTGCTAAGTAAATATATAAAAACTGAACTAAATTTTTAAAATATATTGTAATATAATAAGGCTAGAAATAATAAATTATAGTTATGTATGTAATTTAGATTACATTTATTTGTATATTAATATAATAATAATATTAAATAATACTATATATATTAATATAATTAATGTTATTAATATATTAATATAATTAATTAGGTCATTGCTTGAAGGTTTAAGTGATCCAAAATTGATGGAATGGAGAGATATTAAAACAATACAAGAAAATTGGATTGGTAAATGTGATGGTATTAGTTTTGAATTACAATTGATAGGAAATATCCCAAATTATCCAAAAACGATAAATGTTTGGACTAATTATCCAGAATTTATTGAATATGCAAAATTTGTTGCAATATCTCCACGTAGTATATTAAATAGACCAGAATACTGTACAGATGTGACAGAAGGAATTAAAATCATGAATGTCAAAGTAGTAAATCCATTTAATGGAAATGAATTACCAATATTTGTAACAGATAAAGTAATATTTCCAAATTTTAGAGATACTTATATTGGTATACCCTCTGCTTCAATGAATGATTTTCAATTTTCTAAAATAGTTGGAATTGAATTTCAACAACATTCAATAGAATGTAAAAGATCAGATATATTATCCAAAGCACAACAGTGGAAAATTGGTGGATATCCTGTTAGTTCAAGATTGCAAGATTGGTTAATATCTAGACAAAGATATTGGGGTACACCAATACCAATTATTTATTGTTCAAATTGTGGTATTCAACCAGTACCATATAATGAACTTCCTGTACTTTTACCAACTATAACATTTTTAAATAAAACATCTTCAAATAAAAAGATTACATTACATGAAGCTAAAGATTGGTTAAATACTTCTTGTCCTAAATGTGGAATTCAAGCAGTTAGAGAATCGGATACAATGGACACATTTGTAGATAGTTCATGGTATTATTTGAGATATATTGATCCAAAAAATATGAAAGAAATGTTTGCTGTTGATAAAGTAAGAGAAATATTTCCTGTTAATTTATATGTGGGTGGAAAAGAACATGGTATATATTTAATTTTTTTATATTTAGATTTTTGTAAATAATATTTAAAATAATAATATTAAAAAATCTCAAATTAATGTATAATTTCAGCTGTATTGCATTTATATTATGCTAGATTTATAAGTCATTTCTTACATTCAAAAGGACTTTTACCTAGCCAAGAACCATTTCAACGATTACTTGTTCAGGGTATGGTACTAGGAAAAACGTATCAAGTAAAAAGTACAAAAAAATATTTAAAAGCAGATGAAGTAGAAGAAAACAAGGGACAATATGTAGAAAAAAATACTAAAGAACCAGTCACTGTTTCATGGGAAAAAATGTCTAAATCAAAGCATAATGGTATTGATCCTGTTAAATTTATAGATAAATATGGAATCGATACGACGAGACTATTTATATTAGCTGATCAAGCACCAATCTCGAATAAATATTGTAATGATAATAGTAAGTTTGTTTTATAATAAATATTCATTCACATAAATTTTCATTATTATTATTTCACTATTATATTAAATAATATATCTATAAAATATAGCTATACCAGGAATACTAAATTGGCAAAATCGCTTATGGAAGACAGTAAAAACTTTTACAGATTATCGTAATGGAGTAAGTTTAAAAAATTTTCAGGCAGAACCTACTGATCCTAAATTTACAGAACACAATGCATATATGTTTGACAGCCGAAATTATTTCTTAAAAACTGTAACTTTTAATATAATTAAAACTCAACAATTAAGTATTGCAATATCAAGAATGCAAGGACTTACAAATAGGTATATATTGTACTTTTATGTTATACTAAGAGTTATAATAATTTCAAAAATTTTAATTAATATTAAACTTTTAATTTTTAATATTAAGTTTGCGTAAGGTATCTGTAGAATGTATGAAAAAAAGTCGCGAATATGAACGTGCATTAGCAGTTCAAATTATAATGCTTGCACCATTTGCACCGCATTTTGCTTCAGAATTATGGTCGGCATTTTCTGCGGCAAAATATCATCTTATAAATGAGGATGAAATAAAATTAGATAAAGATGTTCTAGAACAAAAATGGCCAGAAATAGATATGAATTATAAAATGAAATTATCAATCAAGGTAAATTTAAAATATTTAAAATATTTATATTTTTATTTATATGAATTTACATTATATTATTTATGATACAATTATATAACAATTATATTTTATAGAAATAGATATAGATATAGATATTTATAGAAATATTCTAAATTTTTTATATAAATATCATTAATTGTAATATTTTATATATTATCAGATAAATGGTGTACTGTATACAACAATTAAAATATTCAAATACGAAATAGAAAAATTATCACTTGAGACAGCTCTTAACTTAATAGAGAATGATCCTCGTGTCCAGAAACATTTAAAGAATCATAAGATTCTTGAATCTAAACTTCTTGTAAAGGAAGTCTGTGATCCAGAAATATTAATTTTGACAAAAAAATATGCAAAGATTGTAACAGCATAATAAAAAGAATATAATTTTTTTATTAAATGAACTTTTTGTATTATAGAAAATCTATATATATTGAAATTAATTATAATATTTTGTTTATATATTATTAAAATGAGTGAAGTTAATATAAATGACTGAAGTTAATATATAATATAAAATAATATAATATAATATAAATAATAAAAAAAATTTATAATGGAAATCAATTTAATAATAAACAATTATTCTTACCCAATATCATATTCTCCCATATATCCATTAGGTGGAATTGTTTCTAAGAATTTAATATAATCGTGTGGTAAATGACTTTCATATGCACCTTTTATTATTGTTTCTCTAAAAAAATTAATTAATAATTAATAATACAATACAAAATATAATTAATAATTACATAATAAATGTTAAATAAATTATAAAATTAAATATAAATATAAATATTATATACAAATATAATGGTGAAGGTCTTCTGTGTATTGGTAATAAATGTAATTTTATATGTTCATCTGGATTTTTGCATTGTTGATACACTCTGCATTTTAATATTTTACCAGTAACCGTTTCTATATCAACTACTAATGGAAAGTATAATTTATCTGCAACACCTTCTTGATTGTCTAAAGTACACATATTACATTCATCTAATTCCCAAATTGCTCCCCATACAACATAATCTTTCGTGGGTACAATTGTTGCTGAGCATCCACCCCATCTTTTTGAATGTGTTAAAAAATCTAATCTGAAATTCTGATATAATTCAATATTTGCATAAAATATAATAATTTATAATAAAAATATAGACATAAAAGACAATGCCAAATATTAAATAATAAAATATATTTAGACTGAAATAATAAAATATTATAAAATAATATAAATATCACAAATTAATAACCCAAAAATTTTTTCAAGCTATTTATATTTACCTTTAAAAAACCAATATCTTTTCGTATTGCAGTTGGATTATTAATATGTATTCTTTTCATTAACATATTGCTTCCATATGCAAAATATAAAAATTTATTAGACATTTTATCAATTAGTTTGTAAAATTTTGTGAAGATTATTGATTGAAACTAACAAATAAATAGGTTAAGATCACTCCTCATTATCAATATTCATTATATCTTCGATATTTGTAAATAAAATATATTCTAATTAAACAGATTATATTTAAATAAAAGCTGTCGAGATATAAATTGAAAATAAAAAATATACATTCTATTATAATATTATCTAATATTATAATAATTAAAAATATAATTTAATTTTATATATATTTTATATTGTTGTTGATATATTATTATATTTTATTATAATTATT